ATGGAAGGCTGAGTCAACCCTGAGCCGGTGAGATTAGAACCGCTGAACTGCAGATAACAGTCAGCTGAAGTGGCCTGCAGTACTGCACCCTAACCTCGGCTCTTTCTAATCCAAAACCAGCTAGTGAGATTTATGGTTGAATGGAGATTTGAAATTTGGTGCCCCTGGTTCAAGTCTACACTTAGCTTCTATACTGTACTGGCTTCCTTGCCAGCAAGATTGCAAAGGCTCTTGACTTTCTGGTTTTGAAAGCTTTTTTATTAATTACATATCAGAATTATTTTGAAATCAAGTATACTTTCTTACTTTAAACAAAACCTGATGCTGAGGTCATTGTGGACATCTCCTTTGTTGCCTGCATTATATAAATAATGCAAAGGCCTAACATGCAAATAAGATTACAAATCCCTGGAAGCCTTATGTGAAAACTCATGGCATAACATGCCCTTCATTTTTCATTTGAAATTAAACAGCATCAAACAGTTATCATTTTAGTAATAGTAAAATGATGTTGTTCAAAACTAGACAAAGCACATCCTTACAGTATAAACAGCCTTCTCTAATTTGTACCCTGCAAATGTCTTGGATTAGAAATATTAATATCCCAAGCCAATATGTGTTGTCTCAAGGATGCAGTGATGTACCACATCTGAAGATATCAGTGTGAGGTAAATTGATTATATAAGGTTTCTGGGGTAAGAGGAGAAAATTTTAGCCAGTTGCATCTCATGCTGTATTTGTTTTGTTTTGCTTTGCTTTATTTTATTTCATCATTTATTTTATTTTCCTTTAATAGAAGTTTTGAAATGTCAGATCAGATGATAAAGAAGTTAACATTTCCAGTTTACTTATTTGGAAAATTTAGTACTCTTAAACATTTTTAACAAAAATATTTCTTGATTGCATAATTTTTATTCCTTTATAGTGAATTAAAACCTTTTAGGGAAATTGAGACCAACACATAAAGAAACTAGCATATTACACCTTTGCTCAAGAATAGGCTGTTCATTTATAACACAGGTGTCAAACTCGCCACATCACGTTGCTGTTACCTGATGTTTCACAATGTTTTTCCTCTTTACGGCGCTGGGATGGGCAGGGCCTGCGAGTGACGCATTCGGCCCACGGGCTGCCAGTTTGACACCCCTGATAGTCTTATAGTATTTATTTATTGTAATTCTTTTGTTGAAAAGCTTCTTGGCGAGCTTATAGACACCAAGTAAAGGATAGAGGAAGGAGGAAGGTTAAAAAATGAAGAAGGAGGCACTGGTTCATGAAATGTATACTGTTTGGTCATTCTGATTTATTTCTCACTTGCTCCCAATCCTGAATATGCCCAGGATTGCAGCCTAAATGTTGCATCACTTTTAGTGGCTGCATTTTAAGCCTGCGAGGGTAAACATATTATGCCTTTCCATGTGTTATTTATTTGAAATGTAATATATGACTGCTCCCATTTTGTGGTTCTTAGTGGCTTATGAATATCTAAAATCCAATTTAAAATTCAATATAGTGATTAAAACCATTGAAATATTGCCAGCATAACAATATCTAAACTAAAAGACCTTGGTAGAAAGATGCTAGAAGCCGACCTCTAAGTGCAGCAGTCTAAACTCCACAATGAGTTGTTTTTTTCTACAGAAAAAGCAGAGTTAGCTACAGAATAGATGTTAATTGTATCTGTAACCTATACCATAATACTGTAACTCTGTAGGTAATTGGCTTTAAGCCATATGAGTCTAGACACATCATATTTCACACCATCAGTCCTATCTAGAAATCAAATGGTAACTAGTTCATCTATCTGTTTAATATGGGAATAATAAATAGTATTATTGTTTTTTATTGTTCAAAAATTTCATAAGCCATAACAGATCAGAAAAGGGTGAAAGGTTTTGTTTTGTTTTTGTTTTCATTAACTTGTTCATTGTTTGGATACTACCTTCCATATGAAACTGATTTAACCTATAAACTGGCTTAGTTCCTAACAGCAGTATAGCCTTTATTGTCATTGTACATTATGTACACAATGAAATTGATTTAACATATACAGTTCCACTTTAACTTCATTCGGTTTTATAATTGGGCTTTTTTCTCACCTGCACGTACGTACGTACGTGTACACACACACACACACACACACACCTGTATACATACATTTGCTGCCCATTGAATATGTTGCTGATATGGGAATCCCTGAGACTTGTCTGAAAGTCTGAAAGACTTGAACATTCTTCCTCCTCATCCTCTTCTCAGAAGATGGATAATGCTTTCTCCTTAATGTCAATGTACCATGTATACACTTATCAATAGCTCTTAATGGCTCTGTGCCCTTTCCTCTTTCTTGTCCATGTCTCCAAGTACAAGTGTGCACAGATATTGGAAACATTCAATGAAAGATCAAGATTCTTGATCCTGTTTCCTGACCTTTTTCTCCAGCTAAAAGTTTAAGCAACAGGAGCTGCTCAATTTTGAGGGCGACATATCAAATTTCACTGCTTCTTCTAATAGCAGCTGGCAAATCTGCTTCTCTATATCCCTGGATCTTTTCGAATGATCTTTCTCTATTTCAACATGTAATACCATAAAAATGGACTGAGTTCCATTCCTATTCAGAAACTGGATGGTAAAATGTTCATTTCAAACCATCACAGCATTTTGCTGCCACAAATACAATTGTAGTCAGATTGCATTCTACATTTCAGTGGCCTCTGTTGCTGTTCAGTGAAAGCACAGCTTGATGAATATTAATTGAGGAAATCTTACTTATACTCTGGTAGGCATAAATAGCCATAAACCAAGAGAAATAACAGAACGGGAATAACAGAATTGAAAGGGTCTTCTAGTCCAACTAGGCAGGAAACCCTACACCACTTCAGATAAATTGTTATGCAACATCTTAAAAACTTCCAGTATTGGAGTTTTCACAACTTCAAGAGGCAAGTTGTTCCACTGGTTAATTGTTCTAACTGTCAGGAAATTTCTTTTTCATCCTAGGTTGCTTCTCTCATCTCAAACAGGAGTGAACCAAAGTCAGTAGGTGCCGAGAAATACTGCACAATAGTAAAATTATTTTTGTATGTATCCAAAGGAAGGGGTTAAGAATTATTATCACCTTGTAATCTTTAAATAGTATTAAAATATTAAAATGGCATTTAAACATGGTAAGGATTCTTAGATAGTATCAAGTCTCTTCCTGTCTTCTGAGTGTACTGTTATCTTTTCCTAAAGCTAGATATTTAATCTGATTATTTTTTTTTAGTACTGCTTGTCTGGGCATCCGACTTTACCATGCAACGTACTCAAGTTCAAATCTACCACCATCATGTTGGACTGTGGGCTCGATATGACCTCAGCTCTCAACTTTCTCCCGCTGCCTTTGGCCCAGAGGTACACTGCACTCTTGTGTGTCGCTCTTGTGTTTTCCCCACACTCCAGTTTTACTCTGCACTTGATTCACTTTTAGGGGGAGAAGGGATTAATTTAATGCAGGAGTGAAGCATTGTTGCAGAAGGCCTGGGGTGTGTTACAGGAAAGGAGTTTGAAATGAACATGCAGCAGCATCTGATAGCATAAAGAGTTTGTCCACTTAAACTTTCCCTTTATCAAAATAACATCATTTGGCTCAGTAGATGGAAAGCATTTTATGGATTTATCGATTTGGTTTCCAGATAATTTATTCTAAGCTTCGCTAAAATATTGCAGCAGCAGCTCAGCACAAGTGAGGTCACAGAACTGTCCTCTCTCTGGTTTCTTCATGCAAGGAGAGACAAATGAGAGAGGTAAATGTAAAGTATAAGCATGCCAGAAGTATATTTCTCCCTGGTTAACCGGGGAGAAATATACATCTGGCATTAACCACCTGTGTTGCTGGTTGTTTGTTGTGGGAGAAGGAAAGTTTCTTAACAATTCCGAGTCTGGAGATCTTTTGCTGCTACATATTACAAAAAGCAAGAAAAATGCATGACACTCTGGTGCTAGAGGCCAAATAGAAGGCACTAGATCTATGCAGAATTATGAATTTAAAGGCAAAATAGTGGGTGGAGGCACATACAGCATCGATCTGCCAACACATCTTCTGGTGGAATAGCTCAGCATCTATGCAAGGCGTGATCATAGGAAGAGATGCAGCTGCTTCAGGAGTTGCAGACAGATGTTATATTTGCGCCCCCTTGTGTTCCTTTTAAATGTAAAGTTTTGCCCAGCCTTAGAAGACATTTTCATTAAGGAGACATCATCTAAATGGATCTTTGTCTTAACAGAATACAGAATAACGGAGTAAGGAAGGGAACTTGGAGGTCTTCTAATCCATCCTTTTGGCCAAATAGGAGACCCTATAACATTCTGGAGAAATGGCTGTCAAATCTCTAGTGGTGTTCTGACCTAGGCTTCCTGAGACAGTAAAAATCACACACAGTCCCAAAAAACCCCTTTTTAATTTAAATGGCTGTGAATTATGTTCATTCACAGCCAGTAATGAGTCACAAACAGTTTGCAAAGAATCCGACAGAAGTCTGCCACAGTCTTTCAGGGTAAGGGTTTTAAGCATCCACCTTTATCTCCCTTGAAACACTGCCAAAGGCCTAATTGCCAATTAGTTTTGCAAGGCCAAACAGAGCTTCAGGATTTATACCAACCAGAACGAACAAAAGTTGCTTCCTGCAAAGGCTCCTGTCCATTTGCTCCTCTTTTACATCTTATGGGAGGGGCCAATCATCACCAAGCCTTACTCCCAAGTTACTCCTTTTGTCTTAACTGTTCTTGCCTTCTAGCAGCTCTGCGCATGTGTGCACTGGGAACAGGCTCCCCCTGTTCCTCTGCCTTGCTGATGTCAGAGGCTCCAGAGGCAGCACATAACTTGCAGATGGCTCTGCCCCTCTCCACCTCAGACACAGAGCCCTCATCCGAGCCTTCCCCAGGCTCCAGGACTGGCCCATGTTCCTACCCAACCTCCTCACTGTCCGACTCTCCTGCCAGCTCCACAGACTGCCAGCGGATCACAACAAGTGGCCTCTAACAGAGAAGAAGTAAGAGATACAGTTTTTATAAATAGGCAACGTACTATACTACCCATCGACACCCAAATATCTATAGCCTTCAGCTAGCCTTCCTTCCCCATCTGACTTTTTAAAGAAAATATTCTTTTATTGCTGAGACTCAAACGTCTAGCATCCTCTTTATTTTAAAGGATGCAACCCAATTTTTTTCTCTGATGCTCTTTAAAGGATGCCGCCAGGGCTCACCTGATATCCTAAAAAAATAAACGTGGTAAGTGACTGCAGCTCAGTGCCTTGCTTGGAAATGCACCCATCTGCCAAGAGTAATGGATCGTGGCCTGGAGAGAGGATTGGAGGAGACAATACAGGCAAAACGCTTGCTTGTCTGCTCATATAAGGGTTGTAAGAATAGAATCCCTTCATGGCATCCTTCTTATGAAAATGCTTGTGATCTGTAATTCCAAATATACTTTCCAGCTCAAGCCAATAGATACACCAGCCTCCATTTGACCTCCTTGAATCATAGCCTCTATTACTGAATTCCTTGGCTACCTATCAAAAAAAAAAAAAGAATGCAGCACTATGCTGAAAGGCTTACGAAGCTTGATCAAAAAGTTACCATATCTCATCTTATGAATGTTACCGGTTTGTCCCCAAATTTTTCCTGAAGTCTAAAACTTAAAGCATTTGAAACTGCTCCTTTGCTCCTCTGTCACTATCATCTGTTCCTCAGGACTCACTCTGTATGCAGGAGTACATTATTGGTTCCACTGTCAAATAGCTTTTATCCTCGAGACATTAAAATTTACCGTTAGCAGTTATGCGCTTTATATTGAGCTGAATGTAATAACATTCAGCACCCGTGTTCTGCCTTCTGGTACGAGCTTTCATCTTGACCTTCTATGTAACACTCTTTCAGGGATTTAAAAAAGGGCTGTCATGTTTATTTCTTATTTTTATTACTGTTGGATTTAAATTCTGACTTTCCCCTAAGATCCCAAGATGACCTACACAGCACTCCCTACTCCAATTGGATCCCCCACAAAGTCATTTAATGAGCTTCCTTGGCTGAAGATGGACATGAGCTTGGGTTTCTTCAGATCTGGTCCAACCCCTTAAACCTTTGTCTCACACTGATTCTCATATCTTTCCCTAGTCATCAATCGCTCCACGTAAGACTTGCAGTTCTCTAAATCATCGTCATTGCCCTTATCCATGTCAGTTCCAGTTTTCTATATGTTCTTTAAAATGTGGTGCCCAAAGCTTGACACAATACTCAAGGCTGGGTTTGACATATGTAGAATATAGTAAAACAGTTACTTCCCACGATTTGGAAACTGTAATTTTATTTCTGCTTTCTAAAAGAGCATTATGTTTCTGCAGCCAAAATACACTGGTAACGCATATGAAGTTTGTGTTCTTCTACAATACCTCTTTCACAATATTTTGTGAAAATACCACGTGGTATTATGATGCTGGCTATCCCCATCCTAGACTTGGTTGGTTGGTTGGTTTATTAGATTTATATGCTGCCCTTCTCCCAGGGACTCAGGGCGGCGTACAACATTAAAAAAACACATATTACAAAAGTTAAAAAGAATTAAATAGAATATCCCAAACAAACCCAATTAGAATTTACAATGACATTTTTAAGAAAATTCAATTAAAATTAACAATGATCAATAATTTATTATTATTGTGTGTGTTTGATTTATTTTTCTTATGTACTGTATTTATTTGTCAATCAAACAATATTCGTACCCATTCTTACTCCTGAAGAACTCTTGATGGCACACAGCACCAATAAAATCAGAGATTACAGTAATTACAAAAGCAAAGCAAAAAATATATATGTCATTCCGATGATCAAAATATTTACAATAGATCTGATCCTCACGGAGATGTGCCCAGAGGGTTTTCAGGTGCTTCATCAGCCGCGACCTTAGAAAAGGGGTGGGTGTGTGGCTATTGTTATCCGAGAGTCTTTAGCACCTCGTAGGAGCCCTGCTCCGGAGCTTGTCGGGTGTGAGTCCTTGCTGGTGAAGTTGGACCTCAAGGGTCAGGTGGGCTTGCTGTT